ATCATACAGGTAAGTAGAGCCATGAAAGAAATGTATTAATCCAATTCTCTTCTGTCTGCCTTTTCATAATGCAGTTGCAATGGGGGCATTGAATATTTCTGCTGTTTTTCTTATTTTGGTAAAATATGCATAACACAAAATGTTGTGCCAAAATATGCATAACACAAAATGTTGTGCCAGTTTTGGGGCTTGAACTCAGGGTCTGGGCACTGTCCCTGAGGTTCTTTTGCTCAAGGCCAGCACTCTACCACTTGAGCCACACTGCCACTTCCAGTTTTTTTCTGTTTATGTGGTACTGAGGAATTGAACTCAGGGCTTCATACATGCTAGGCAAGCACTCTACCACTAAGCCATATTCCCACCCCAAAATAATTTTTAAAAAAATCTGAGTAGATGGATAACATGGACATGTAATAAAAATCGTAAGGCACACAGTTTAACAGTGTATATAGTGCCAATCCTAGCTCCCACTTCTTTTTTTTTTTTGGTCCGGTCATGGGGCCTGAACGCTGGGCCTGGGCGCTGTCCCTCAGCTCTTCAGCTCAAGGCTTGCGCTCTACCACTTGAGCCACAGCGCCACTTCTGGCTTTTTTCTTTTTGCTTATGTGGTGCTGAGGAATCGAACCCAGGACCTCATGCATGCAAGGCAAGCGCTCTACCACTGAGCCACCTTCCCAGCCCCCTAGCTCCCACTTCTAACTCCTGACTATCACAGCCCCCTTCATGCAGGTAGCCACTTTAAAGGAAGAGGCATCTTAGCTGGGTGCAGAGGCTCACACCTAAAATCTCAGCTTCTTAGAAGGCAGATGTGGGAGAGAGGATCTGAGCTCAAAGCCAGCCCCAGCAAGAAGTTAGTAAGACCAAGACCTCAGTCTTAGTCAATAAGCCAGGTACAGTGGCGTGTACCTGTAATCCCAGCTATTGGGGGAAGCCATAGGTAGGAGCATCAGTGTCTAAAGCTAGCTTTAGGCAAAAGATGCAAAATCCTACCTGAAAAATAACTTAGGCAAAAAAGAGCTGGAGGCATGGCTCAACTGGTAGAGCATTTGCCTAGCAAGCATGAGGCCCTGAGTTCAAAGTCCAATCTGCTTTAAAACAAACAATAATTGGATACCAATTATACTTATGCCTGTAATCCTAGCTACTCAGGTGGCTGAGATCTGATGATGACAGTATAAAGCCAGCCAGGGCAGTATCGCTTATGAGACTCTTTTTTTTGTTTTTGGGTCCGGTCGTGGGGCCTGAACTCTGGGCCTGGGCGCTGTCCCTCAGCTCTTCAGCTCAAGGCTAGCACTCTACCACTTGAGCCACACGTGCCACTTCTGGCTTTTTTCTTTTTGCTTATGTGGTGCTGAGGAATCGAACCCAGGGCCTCAGGCATGCAAGGCAAGTACTCTACCACTGAGCCACCTTCCCAGCCCCTTATGAGACTCTTTATCTCCAGTTAACCACCAAAAAGAGCTAAAGTGTAGCTGTGGCTCATGTAATACAGTGCTAGCCTTGAGAAAAAAAAAAAAAAAAAACTGAAATAATACCTAGGCCCTGAGTTCAAGCCCTAGTATTGGCACCACCAAACAAACAACAGAATGAAGCATTTAAAATAGACTGTTTTGGTCTAATAAAGCATACAAGTAACATTGAATTACATTATTCTTGAGTTGCTATACTAGGAAATGCCCAAGAGAGAGAGAAGAAGAAGAAAAAGCTGAGGATTTGGAACACAGATTTAGGAATTGAACTTGAAGAAGACAAAGGTCCAAGTTATCTCCAATAATAGAATCAAGGGCTACTTTATAGCAGTAGTTGATCACACTGATGTTGCCTTTTGTACAAAGAGCTCCTACAAGTGAAATCCCTGTGTTGAGCCTTGCATAGATGCAAACAACTGCTTCTAAACCACATTGACCACAAGGAGGAACAGTGTCATGTTTGAGTAAATATCCTTGGACTCTGAAAGTGTCAGTGCAGGGCACAGCCTAGGTCTGTGTCTCCTAGGCCACCGAGCTTGGGGAGCTTTAGTGCCCTGTGTTTGGCCAAAGCACAGCTAGGTGCAACCACATTGTGGCTTGTCAAAGATTCATGGCATGGAAAGTAGCAGCCCTGGCTAGATAGCTGCATCTTCCCTCCTTGACTCCTTACCTCAGGAGAGAAGTAAAGTTCAGGCTAAAGGCCAGCAGTCCCAGTTTGGGTTTTATCCCTGTTTGAAAGGCTAAGGTTTGTTTTGCCTGAACGAGTGAGTGACAAGAAGACTCACATGCAGGGAAAGAGGATGTAGGAAAGAGATAGATCGGGAAGAGGAGAGAAAGTTGGTTGATTTTGTTTTTGTTTTTGATTTTAGAGTTCTTTGATTTGATTACTGTTAGCCTCTTGGGATCTTGCTTCTGGGTTGTACTGTGATCTGTTTCTCAAACCTCTGATCCTGAGTTTTTCCCTGAGTGCTTGGTGGATGCTGAGGTTCCTTGGCCCCTATCCTAAGATGCTGACTCTCAAGTAGAGTCCTTGAGTACCGGGGTGATTTAGGGAACCACACTGGACCAAGGTTTGATGCTTTCATCAGTCCCAGATATTCTGCTCAGATTTGTTCTCTACTGTGATAGGAGCAGCTGAGAATCCTTTACTGTGGTTGGCTCATTATAACAAGATTAGAGCTTTATTTCATGTAGAATGCATGTTCTTTTTACTGGATAACGATGCCTCGAGTTGACTTTTTAAAATGCTTCTGACTGCATGAGCCTTGAGCTGAATTGCTCAGGGACAGCTCCCAGGCCTAGAGCTCAAGCCCCATGACTGACAAAAAAAAAAGAGAGAGAGGGAGAGAGAGAGATCTTTCATGCTATTGTTTCTAACATATTTATAAGATTATGTCTTTGTTGCTTTGTATGTCCCTCCCCCATGGTATAACCCCTGCTTTCACTATATATGATGTTGGTGTATGTGGAGGGGAAGGGAAAAAACAAATCTTTAAAACAGGGATACAGGAGGACCCATTGCAACAATGAGATGTACAAGTCGTTATGTCAAAAAACGAACTTTACAACTTTGGTGGGGAGGATACAAAGGGATGGGAAGGGGACACAAAGGAGGAGGCTACAATGCTTGATAAGAAATGTGCTCATTATCTTATCCATGTAATTGTAACCCCTCTGTACAATATTTTCACAATAAAAAAATAAACTGTTTCTGACTATTTAAAACACATAGTAACTCATAGTAACTTAAAATATCAATGCTATTGATCTTTGTAAGTAGAACCGCAAAATGCCTCTTCTGTTATTTTATTTATTTATTTATTTTTGTCAGTCGTGGGGCTTGAACTCTGGGCCTGGGTGCTGTCCCTCAGCTCTTCAGCTCAAGACTAGCACTCTACCACCTGAGCCTCAGCCCCACTTCTGGCTTTTTCTGCTTACGTGGTACTGAGGAATCAAACCCAGGGCCTCACGCATGTGAGGCAAGGACTCTACCACTGAGCCACATTCCTAGGCCCCTTTTTCTTCTTTTTGGTGGTACATAGGGATTAACCTCAGAGTCTTAAGGCTAGGCAGGGGATCTATCTTTTGAGCCACACTCCCAGGCATTTTTGCCTTTTTTATTTTTATTTTTAATTTTTTTGGGTCCGGTCATGGGGCCTGAACTCTGGGCCTGGGCGCTGTCCCTCAGCTCTTCAGCTCAAAGCTAGCGCTCTATCACTTGAGTCACAGCGCCACTTCTAGCTTTTTTTCTTTTTGCTTATGTGGTGCTGAGGAATCGAACCCAGGGCCTCGTGCATGCAAGGCAAACGCTCCACCACTGAGCCAGCTTCCCAGCCCCTGCCTTTTTTATTTTTGAGAAACCAGCCTAGACTGTCATCCCCTATGCATACTTTCCATGTAGCTGACAGTTGAGTGAGGAGTTTCGTCTTTGTGCCTGGGATGGCTTTAACCCTCAGTCCTCCCAATCTCTGCCTCCTAAGTAGCTAGGATTACAGATATGAGTGACAAGTGCCTAGCCAGGGTGGCCTCACAACAAGGGTTATTTTTGATCTAGACTAATATTCTGTGACTAAAATATTATTCAGAATTAAGAGAGTATGTATTACTATAACAAATAGAGGAGATAGTCACCTGATAAGGAGGAGAGTTTATTTTGGCTCATTGATTCTGAGGTTTCAGTCCATGGTTGCTCAGCCCTGTTGCTTGGAGCCTGCAGTGCCATAGTATATAATGGTAAGAGACTGCATGGTGGAAATGGCCTCTTCACCTCATGCTGGCTCCAGTCTTAGTAACCCCTTCCAGCATCCCCCACTCCCCAAAAGAACTAATGTCATCTCACTAAACACCACCTCTTAAAAAAGTTCTCTACCTCCTAGAGCCACTGGCTAGAGACCAGTTCTCATGCCCTTAAGGGTGCATTTCAGGTCCAAACAATAATAGTATGATAACCAGAAATAGCTTTTTTTGTAGTTAGCACTTTGTTAATGAGGAGTTAGCCCTTGTTTCATCATCACAGTAAGGTGTGTGTGTGTGTGTGTGTGTGTGTGTGTGTGTGTGTGTGTGTGTGTGTGTGTGTGTGT